GTCTGGTCAGATCTATGCCAGACTTCTGACCTACAGAGCTGGGAGGTAATAAATGCGTGTTGTCTCAAGCTGAGAACGTGGTGGCAATTTGTTGTAGCAGCAGTAGAAAACTAATACGATCTCCAACAAAAACATATACAGTGATGTTCATGATGGTATTCTTTACACAATGACGTCTATGACAGCATTACTTGTGAAAGTCCCAGTGTGGAAATATCCCAGAGGGCCACTAGCAAGCTAGATAACTGAACTGGCCTGGCTGACAGTGGAGAGTGTGGAACCGTCGGACAGGAGGGCGGCCCCAGGGTGAGCCTCCCAGCATGGGTCGGGGATAGGGGGTAGGTGCAGACAGACTGTGTGGTCGCACGTATATAAAGTTCAAAACCAGGCAGACTTATGTTCCACGGACCCAGGTCAGAACAGCAATTGTCTTGGTGGGACAAGGGCTGAGAAGAGTCACAAGGGAGACTTTGGGGGGTGCTAAAAATGTTCTATATCTTGATCTGGGAGGTGTTTGCAGGGTGTGTTTACTTAGATGACTGGTGCACTTTTCTGCATGCATGCATGCTATGCTTTAATTAAAAAGTTCACGTAACCAGACAGCGCTCACACGCCCGCTCTCTCTCTCTCTCCCTTCCTCTCTCTCTCTCTCTGTCTGTCTCTCTTTCACATGCCCACAACTTTCCCTACCCACTTCCTTCCCCAGGTGCATATATTCTTGCTTTTTTTCTCCTAAGTTCCAAGGGCTCCTCTTTTGCCTCTGTTTCCTGAGCTAATCAGAAGTGGTTGGTCTGTCTGCATTATTAAATTTTTTAAAAATGTACACTAAAGGCCATTTATTTTATAATGATGATCTTTTGTAAAAAAGATTTTACAAAAGTTTTGTTTATGTATTTATTTATTTATTTAGAGGGGAAAGGAGGAAGAAAATAGGGAGAGAAACATAGATCTGTTGCCTCTCACACGCCCCCAACTGGGGACCTGGTCCACAACTCAGTCATGTGCCCTGACCGGGAATTGAACTGGTGACCTTTCAGTCTACAGGTCAGTGTTCAGTCCACTGAACCACACTAGCTAGGGCTTTGGTGATCTTTTCTCTCTTGTGCACTTTTTGGTTACCCAGTGATTTTTTTCATCACAGAATTTTCCCCTGAAGCCAGGAGAATAGTAAAATCCAGAGAAATACCATCAAACATTATGGTGCACTTGAATGGATTTCAATATATATACTTTTACTTTCACACACTTTATTTTTAAATTGTATGTATTAATTTACTTGAAGACCACCAGTTTCTCCCAGAAGAAACTATTGCATTGTTACCATTTTCTTGTATTTCCTTTCACATTGTGTGAGTATATTTTTTCTTTTTTCTTCTACATAAGACATAGCAAATGATACATACAGGTCTGCATTTGCATTTATCACCATAGTTTTTAATAGCTAAGTAGATACAGAACCAGATAGAGTCATTTGACTAATTCCCCTATTGTTAAACATTCAGGTTATTGCTAGTCTTACACTATTGTAAACAGTGCAGCAATAAATATGTTTAAAAATCTATCATTTTTCATAATCACAATTTCTATTTCAGAAATCTACTTCAAATCAATAAGCATTTACTTGAAGATATGGTGGATGTTAACTTTTTTTTTATTTTAGAAATGGACTCTCTGCTGAGAATACTCTCATTAATTCATTCATCCGAAGGTACTTTGATGCCTATCTTAAGTTAGACAGAACCTAAACAGTAGAATTTATCATATATTCTATAAAGGATGTATCTTTTCAATGATGTATTAATTTCCTAAGACCGTTATAACAAAGTATCACACAATGGGTGGCTTAAAACAACAGAAATTTCTGCCCTGGCTGGTGTGGTTCAGTGGGTTGAGCATCTGCCTGCAAACTGAAAGGTCATGGGTTCAAATCCCAGTCAGGTTGTGGACCAAGTTCCTGGTTCCTGGTTGGGGAAGTGTGAGAGGCAACCAATCAGTGTTTCTCTTGCACATCTATGTTTCTCGTGTGTGAGTGTGTGAGTGTGTGTGTGTGTGTGTGTGTGTATCTTCCGACAATCCTTGGCATTCCTTGGCTTGTAGATACATCACTACAGGGAAGGAAAAGATTCAGAGAGAAAAGTGTATTGACTCAGAAAGGTAAATGGGATGCAAACTGAACAGTGACCAGGTAATTAGGAGGTTTTTGCTGACATTAGAAGTCAGATAGGAGCAAATAGAGGAATGGATGGGAAGTGAGTGATTAGGGTAATATTATCTAAAAGTAAAATAAATTTCATCTTCTGCCTTAATAAGGCAATTCAGGATCATCAATCACGGTGCTGACCTCCTTTCCCTTTCACTGTTCGGAGGCGCCCGGGCCCTCGTTTAGCGGGTCCTTTGGGAGGATGCTGGCCTCGCAGGTCTGCCCGACAAGCATAGCACCACGTGGCTCTCTGTTCCTGAAACGTTCTTCTGCCTCATGACTTCCAGTGCAACCCGTGGCTCGGATCCCGTTCAAATGCTGTCTCCCCTGAAAGTCTTCCCTAGTCTCCCCAACTGCACGTTATCTTTCCTCCTCTGAATTTCTGCAAGATTTATCCATACACCTCTTGCTGTGCACTCTGTTTTAAATATTTATTCCGTTTATTATAATTGTGGTTTTTTTTCTTTTCTCTGCTACTAACCTAAAAGTTCCTGACAAGATCCATGACTGATTCACCTTGCTATCCCCAAAGACATCATATTTCTTCACATTTATGCTAGATATTAATAATATTTAGTACATTCTGGCTGTTCACTAAATATTTGTTTAGTAAATTAATAAAGGGAGACTACTGGACCCAATTGGATAACATAAAATAAAGTCCAATAATCTGGTACAATGGGCATATCTTTAGATTAAATGTCCTTTGCATATAACAGGAATTTTGAAGTCCGCAGAAAGAGTTAAATGCCAAACATCTAACCCAATCCAAAGCATCCAAAATCCAGGAGGTAATGTAAATGTCAGCCACGGATGGAATTGCTATAATAAATCATGTGATCTGGGCTAAATTGTGTATCCCTTGAAATTTGTATGTTGAAACCCTAAAACACCCAGTACCTCAGAACTCAACTGTATTTGGAGACAGGACCTGTAGAAAAGTGACTGAGTTAAGATGAGGCCATTAGGGTAGACCCTAATCCAACCTGGTGTCCTTATAAGAGGAGGAGATTAGACACTCAGAGAGACACCAGCAATGCAAGGACACAGAGGAAGACTATGCGAGGACCAGGAAGAAGTGAGCATCTGCAAGCCAAAGAGAGGCCTCAGAAGAAATCCAACCTGCTGACACCTTGATCTTGGACAATTGGATCACAGAATTGTGAGAAAATAAATATCTGTTGTTGAAGCCACTCCATATTTTGTTAAGGCAGCCCGAGCAGACTTGTAAGGAGCCATGTTGCACAGTGAAGAACATGTTGCACAGTTGCAGTGGGTCAGACCAAGACTTCGACTGTTGCTTTCTGTGTGATTTTGAGCTAGTAGTATTGCCTCTCCAAGGCAGTTCCTAAATCACTGCATGGGAGACAGATTCCCCTATGAGTGTTATGGGGAATACTATATATATGGCCTGAAACAGAAGGAGCACTTGATAAAGGACAACTTTCAACGGTCATGGCAATGAGTTGGTATATTATATGAGCATTAAAATGATTACTCTGATGATCTGTTATATATTACTATATGAAATATATTTTTACTGACTAGTTAAGGTTAATATAGAATTTAAAATATTTAATGGATTACATATAACAAGTTTAATATAATATTAAAATTAAAAATACACTACTAAATAAGGGAATACAAAATAAAAATTATATGTAACTGTTACTTACACCTCTCTATATAAGGCATTATGCATACTTGTTGACAAGATTGGAGGGCACTGCACAAGAGAGAATATAATTGTTTAATATTGAATCAGTTAGGACCCTGATGCGGGGGGGGGACCTGACCTTGAAGTAATTTAGTCCAAAACTGGTCCCAAGGAAGGATCGAGCAATGGAGCTACGGAAGAGTAGGAACACAGCTGGCCCACTGGAACATTTGCGACCAGGAGTTTCAACAGCGTCAGGGGTTTCTTTTCATCTCTAGATCTGCTGTTGGCCTCATTCCTAGTCGTTAAAATTGGCTTCGTCCACACTCAGAAAACATGGCCTCCCCAAGTCACACTGAACAATTTCTGCCTCCAAACAGGAACTCCCTCTATTCCCTATTTTTAATCAGGGCTGCTGCTCAGCCAGCAGGCACTGGCTGTGGATTTTGATGATCATCCTTGGAATCAGGTTCAAATCCCAGAGAAGAAATCATTGGTGTTATCTTTCATTCCGTCGACCGGAGGCAGGGAGCCAGGTCACGTAAGAGCAAAGCCACGCTCACGAGGATCGTAGATTTGAAGTGATGGAAGCAGCAGTTCTTGAGAATAAGCTTTGTTACTGGGGGGGGAAATGACAAAAAAATACATGTCTGTTCTAAGTATACTTATAGCTTTTATTTTCCTGTTAAAATATAACAACTTTTAAAAAGAAAAGAAGAAAATTTTTAGTGCCAAAAGTCATCTTTCTTTCTCAGTTTTATTTCTACTGTACTTAATTAGAACATGCTTAAGCATCTCTCTGTAATTTATGTTTCAACATGGTCACCATGCATTGGAAGGCCCTACAGAAACAGGTGACTGATGTCCAGCTTAGTGTGACCTTTAGCTCTTCCCTGGTTGAGCATCAAAATAGTTCATTAGATTGGTGTTAGAACAGGGTCTTACTTGACCTATTCAATTTGCTTCAACTTCAGCATTTGGGTTAGATCTCAGTCACAGTTGTATACCCTTGCTTTAATGTCCCCAAGGCACTAACCAGAAAAAAATACCATACCCTCATTTTGCCACATAGACATCCCTAGACATCCTCATCTTTTCCCTCAGTACATGTAGATAAAATTTTTAAAAAGTTAATTTGCATACCATTTTACACAGTGGCAGTATCGTAGCCAATGAGGTTTATCCGAGGCATGATTATGGCTAATTGAAAAAATAAATTTGCATACAAATATCAAGAATTTACATCAAGAATTTTAAGGTCTTGTGTAAAGTCTTTTAGAAGTAAGAGCTTCCAAATTCTTATTCTTGAATATCTCCTAGTAGCAGGAGCCAATTTGACTGTGGAAGTATCATTCACCGAACACATGAGAAAAAATGAGTAACTTCCGGGCATGTTTAATTTCATAGAATCTTAGGCTCATAATTGAATGGTTGATTCCCAGTTCTTCCAGGTGCAACCACGCTGTGGAGAAACGATTTTAACAGATGAAGATTTAGTGAGGTGAGGGCTTAATAAATTTTTCAGACCAGCTCTCAAGGTTCTCTCTAGTTTCTATGTGCTGTTAAAGAGCAACACATGTCCAGTGGTTGGAGTGCTCGTACTGCACCTGGGAACAGAAATGATTGTCCAACACGATGCGATCTGCTTCGAATGTCCAAACAGCAAGCAAACAAAGATGGAAATGACCAACAGCTGAACTGAACAATCCCATGGTAGCAGCCATGATCCGGACAAAAATCAAAGAAACGTCTGAAGGTGCTCAGGGCACATGTTCCAGGAGCAACGCTTGGACTCCTTTGCAGTTCGCGTCTTTCCTTGGCTCCTGGTGTTTGCAATGGGACTGTATTCACAGGTTCAAGGGGCTTCCCAAACATGCCCTAGAAAAGCTCTCTGCCAGCCGAGAGTACAGAGCGTAGCAGACACCACAGCCTATTGCATACTGCTAATTTGCAGTGAAGGCTTTGCTAATAAATAAACTAAGGAGCAAAATTGAGAAGTCAGGCACAGAACAACCTGCCAGAGAAGTGGGACCATAAATATAATTTAAAAATTCTATATTGGGGTCATTTTTATAAGCACTGGTTTAAAATTTTATTCGTAGAGAACGAATTCTCGAGTTCATTATGGTCCCCTCCATCCTTTCTCTCCACTGTAGTGGCACCTAGTTCTCCCCGGCACAGGCGTCTGGATCTTTCCTGAGATGAAAAGCGCAGCCAGCGGGAGTTTCCTGACACTGCGCCAGAACACTGCACCCCTCCACACTGCGATGCCCTAAGTGTTTGGGAATTAAAGTCATTAATCTTTCCCTTCCCTTTTTTTTTCTTTTTTTAAATCACAAGGGCCTTACTGGCATAGTGATTAGCAATTTTAGCCTTAAAAAAGAAAGAAAGAAATTCTAGCACAAAGGCAAGAAAACAAACAGAACAGCTGGAAAGACCTGGCCTCTTTGCTTTCCATTTAGTGGCAAAACAGGATTCCCTTTTGGAAAGAATTTCCCTCCCCCTACTCCACTTTAGTCACTACATGTATTTTCTCTCTCTCCCCGTATGTCGTTTTATTTACATTTTCTTTTTTTAATGCTGCTGTCTTTACCACTGAACTATTCCTAAGCTTTCATTCATTTAATAAGACCCACGGCAGGCCTAGGACAGGGGAAGTACTAGGCTCGACGCTGGGGGGGTCCCATACAGATAAATTCATCCTGACTACTGACATCAAAAAGTTTATTATCCCAGTAGAGGCTATGACTGGGACATAAATAAGTATAATCGAAAGTAAAAAGTGGTAAGTGACAAAATAAATATAAAGTGACACAGAAACTCCGAAAGAGAGAGATTCATTCCAGCTTGGAAGTTCAGTGAAAGTTCACAGAGGAGGTGTGTGGCTGAAGGGCATTCTCAGCAGAGAACGCAGCAGGAGCGAAGGTGTGGAGGCCTGGTGATCATTTCTAAGAAAATGGAGGGACTGAGTTTGACGCTGACTGTGGCAGGGGTCTCAGGGTGTGGTCCGCAGACCATCAGCATCCCCGTCACCTGAGACCTTGTTAGGTATGTAAATTTTCAGGCCCCACCCCAGACCTGCTGATTCAAAAACTCTGGGCTGGGACTCTCACAGTCTATGGTGTAACAGTCCCTCCAGGTGAGTCTGATGGCTGTTCAAGTTCAAGAGTCACAGATAAAGGTATGTGGCACATGGGGGCACACAGAGCAGGAAATAGCTTTAAAAGAATATATATATTCTGCTGCTGTTTGGTAGAGTGTTCTAACATTTGTCTATTAGTTCTAAACAGTTTATAGTGTTTTTTATTCCTCTATTTCCTTTTGATCTTTTGTCTAGGAGCTCTGTTATTGAAAGCAGAGTGTTAAAGCGTCCAACGACATTGTTGAATTGTCTATTTCCCCATTTCTGTATTAGTTTGTTTGGGCTGCCATAACAAAATACCACAGGCTGGGTATGACCACAATTTATTTTCTCACACTTCTGGATGCTGGAAGTCCAAGATCAAGGTTCCAGGAGGGTTGGTTTCTTCTGAGATCTCTCCCCTTGGCTTGCAGAGGGCTACCCTCTTGCGGCCTCTTCATATGGTTGTCCCTCTGTGCACCCTCGGTGTCCCCTCTTGTAAAGACACCAGTCAGACTGGATGAGGACATACTCAACAGACCTCATTTTAACTTAATTACCTCTTTAAAGGCCCCATCTCCGAATGTAGAGTTGCATCCTGAGACACTGGGAGTTGGAGCTTCAAAATATAAAGTTTGTTTGGGGGGGACATGATTCAGTCCATAACAATTTATAATTGTTATATCTTCTTGATGGGTGTCTCTCTTGTCACTAGTAACATTTTTTGTCTTAAAGTCTCTTTTGATCTGATATTAATACAGCCAGTTCAGCTTTCCTTTGCTATTATTTGCATGGCTTATCTTTTTTCAGACTTTTAAAAAAAAATTTTTTTTTTTTAAGAGAAGGAAAGAGAGAGAGAACGAGAGGGAGAGAAACATCAAAGTGTGGTTGCCTCTCAAGTGGCCACTGCTGGGGACCCGGCTCGCAACCCAGGCATGTGCCCTGACTGGGTATCGAACCGGTGACCCTTTGGTTTGCAGGCCAGCACTCAATCTACTAAGCCACACCAGCCAGGGCCAGACTTTTAATTTCAATCTGTTTGTGTCTCAATCTGAAATGTGTCTCCTGTGGATGGTAAAGAGTTGGATCATGTTTTGTTTTGTTTTTTAAATCCATTCTGCCAATATCTACATTTTAAATCAGTTATTTTATTAGTGGTTTTCCCTGGGAATTAAAATTAACATCTTAAGCCCTGGCTGGATTGCTCAGTTGGTTAGAGCATCCTCCTGATACATCAAGGTTACAGGTTCGATTCCCAGTCAGGGCACATACAAGAAGCAACCAATGAATACACATATAAGTGGAACAACAAATCAATGTTTCTCTGTGTGTGTGTATACATATATACCAATAAATCAATCAATAAAAATCAATACATAAAGAATTTAATTAACATCTTAATTTGTAACAACCTAGTTTAGATTAACAATAGGTTAATTTCAATCATGTACGAAAACACTGCTCCTAAGGATCTGTTCCTTCCCCCTCCTTTGTGCTGTTATTAGCACACAAGTCACATTTTTGTATGTTGTGTGCTCATGGACACAGAATTATAATTATTGTTGTATGTAGTTCTCCTTTAAATCAAGTAGGAGAAAAAGAGTGTTGCAACTGAAATAAAAGTATGCTGTACTTTTTATTTACCCACATAATTACATTTACCAATGTCCTTTATTTCCTCATGTAGACTTGTGTTACTGTCTAGTGTTGTGTTGTTCATTCCAACCTGCCTTGGGGATTTTTTCAAGGACTGCCTTGAGGATTATCCTACAGAACTGAAATGGTACACTAGACCGTGGATCAGGTCTCTTGTCACCTTTATGGGGAGAGAAGTTTCAGAGGCCCTTTCTTTGCCATTTTTGCTGACACCCTTCCTTCTCACACTTGGAAGTGAGGTGAGGGCTGTTGTCCCTCTGCTCAAGGTTGTCCTCAGGGCCTGCGGCAAGGCCCAGCTTCTTTCTCTGAGCCTCCCCCTTCTCTGCAGAAGCAGAAAATAAGGCCCAGGACGGTGCTTGTGAAGCATACAATGCAATGCTGACATCAGTTACTGAAATCTAAAAGGATTAACCCTGAAGGCAATAGATGAAACTTTCTTTGCCTTTGTGCTGAGGGCAGGGCCAGAGATTTGCCCCAAGTTTCTCCTCCTTCCCCTTCCCCTTGACCCTGACTTTAAGACAAGGCAGGGTTAGAGCCCACCTGAGCCAATTTGGTCATCCCTTAGCCTGAACCAATTCAGAACCATCATTCAGATGGTATCAGGGCAAGAGCATCAATGTTAGGGTCCAACATAACCTGGTCTAAATCCAGCCATGCCACTCACTACATTACCCCCAGACGGTCCCTTAGGCCACTCAGCCCAGTTGACTTAACTCTAAAATGTAAGTAATAATACTCACCTTGTGAGTTCCTAAAAAGATGAAGTAATGAATGTATTTGAAGCAGTCAGTATACTGCCATGCATATAGTTGGGTCTTGATCATAATTATGAGAATTAAAACTGTATGCCATGCATATCATTGGGACTTGAGAATAATAATTGTGTCTCAATACTATCCAGGAGCGCTTACTTATACAGCCTTGTCTGCAATCTTTTCCTTTATTAAACACACCTTACTCCCTGAAAGTTTTTTATATCTAACCTAAATTCCAGGCTACATTTAACTCCTTTGTGTTGGCCCTGTATTTGGGACGGAAGGCGTGTTTGTGATCTTGCTATATGGTAACCTTTGCAGCCTGTTTTAAAGCCATCTCTCGGCCACGTTGTCACCATTCGGGATTTTTTTGGCCAGCCTGTGTGGCTCCCAGTCCCTTTATGCTCCCCCTTGATGCTTCTCTTTCTTCCATCTCTTTCTATGTGTATTAATTGATATGTTTTGTAGGTCAGTGTGCTATGAAGGTCAAGGTCTGTGTCTCTGGACTTGGATTCAGCTGCCAGCTCTCAGCCTTCACGACAATTCGAGACACAGCTGCAGCTACACTCAGAAGCACAGAGGCTGCAAGAGAAACAAAGGCTGCATTTGATGGTCGACTGGGACAGTAGGAGACAACTGAAGCCTCCTCTTCAGACCTATTTTCCTGTGGTCAAAAAACTCAGAAAGTAAGGTAGGTGGAGTGTTCAGGAATAACTATAAACGCCAGCCTCACACACATACAGAAGACATG